TTGGGCTTGTTCACCAGGGATTCGGTCTGTTTGGGGTTTTGGGGTGCCCTAAGCCATAAACCCTGAACCCTAAACCCTAAACCCTAAACCCTAAACCCTAAACCCTAAACCCTGAACCCTAAACCCTAGCCCTTTCAAAAACAGCAAAAGCCCTAAAGTCCTTCTGTGCGCTTGTCCCCGGTGCTAGCAAGACCAGAGCTTCCTGTTTGAGTTTAGGGTTTTGGGTTTCATGGTTTAGGGGTTACAGTCATGAGTACTGTATTGTGGGTCAAGCTGGGCAGTACGGGCAGCAGACGAGTCCCTTGTGAAAAATGGCTTAGGGGTTAGGTGAGAAGTTATCTCAGGCAACATCGGGAATCGGGCCCAATGTTATAGGGTTTATAGGGTTTAGGGCCTTAGAGTTTAGGGGTTAGGGCTTATAGGGTTTAGGGTCTAGTAGGGTTTCTAGGGTTTAGGGTGAAGAGGTTAGGGTTTATAGGGTTTAGGGTTTAGGGTTTATAGGGTTTATAGGGTTTATAGGGTTTAGGGTTTATAGTGTTTAGGGTTTTGGAAAAGATGGTTGCAGGTCGTCGTCTGGCTACGTAGTCTTGAGTCCACCAGAAAACTAACGGTGGCTTTCAAGACCTGTTTAGAACAAAACTCAACCCCGAAGTTTACTAGAGTTTGCAGAGGGGGCCTTGAAGCAGAAGATCCCTCAACCCTAAACCCTAAACCCCTAAACCCCAAATAGATCCCTAAACCCTAAACCCCTAAAGCCCTAAACAGATATCTACGAGCTCGCCTCCCACTGCTTCTGGAGGTTTGGGGCCACCTTGGCAAACATCATCTTTGCCATCTGCTGCTGGGCTCATTGGGCAGCTTCTCATTTCAAGCCTCAAGCATCTAGTTTAATTTTATCAACCCTAAGCCCTAAGCCCATGAAATCCTAAACCCTAGACCCTAAACATCCCTGAGCCCTGAAATCCTTAACCCTAATACCCTAAGCATCCCTGAGCCCTGAAATCCTTAACCCCTTAGACCTAAAGGCCCTGAATCGAGCCCAGACTCATCGCTCTTCGTCTGCTTGTCGTGTCTGCGCCTTCCTTGTCAGGATGTTTAGGGTTTAGGGTTGAGCATGAATGGGCAGGGTGTAGGGTTAAGGGTCTGAGGCATTTTGATGCAAGCTTTGGTCAGCTTATTGGGGCAAAAAAAGGTGCTTGCGTATCTTCCAAAAACTCCCGAAATGGGCGATTCAAAATTCCTGGAGCGTCGCCTTAGGCCCTCGCAAGGAGGTACTCAGCAGAAATCCCGCTTGGCATCATACTTTCGGCGAGGAGACTGTCCAAACTTGCAGCCAATGCTTCGTTCAGAGATCCGCAGTGCGCAGCACCGTTACATAAAGGAGTCCGCCCTAAATTCTTCAGGAGGTTCGTGGGCTCGGTAGAAGGGACTTTGAGGCCTTTCTGCTGTGCAGACCATTTCCCTCGGTTTAGGGTTTAGGGTTTAGGATTTTGTCGTAACTAGTAACCCTACACCCTGAAACCTCCAACGGGCCAGGCTCAAGCTCAGCCATGTGCTGAGAGCAACTCACGCTTTCCCGAGATCGTACACTTTATTTCCAAGCCAAAGGCGTCCCTTTGAACGATGGCCTTTGGCAAGAAGGACAGCTTGTTCTTGGCCTATGCCTTCTCAATGCTCGCTGTTGTCGTGGAGGTGCAGGCTGTCACCTTGCGCGGAGCGGAGGAAGCTCAGGAGTCAGGCAAGCTAAATCCACGTAAGGAGACCCAGAACTTTGCTTTTAGCATCGCGCCAGAGAAGTGGAGGTCTACCAGCAGATTCCGGACCAATGCCACCCAGAAGACGATGATGTTCTCCCCTATAATTCCGGGCAACTATTCAACCTACATCTATGACACTGAGGATGCATACTATGAGCAATACAGCAAAGCTTTCTTCGGCATCACCAGTAAGAAATCAGGGTGGGACTGTATGCGCCACTATGAGATCATCATGTCAGGTAGCATCCCATATTTCCTGAATCTCGACAGGATTCCAGCGAAGACAATGACAAGTTTTCCAAAGGAGCTGATTTCCAGGGCCATGAAGCTTCCCGGAGTGCCATCAGAAATGGAAGTCTGGCAGGCGATCTATGGGGGCAAGGTGCCTGAGGTGAACCTGGACCAGTTTGACAAGGCAGGCTACACGAAGATTCGTGAAGAGTTGATGAAGTACGCTGAGCAGAAGCTCCTGAGTACGAGCATGGCAGCCAAGGTGGTGCCTTCCGATGCTTCGGTGTACCGAGTTCTGATACATTCGTCTCATAGCTCGGTCGGCTACGGGCAATACTTTCTGGTAACTTGGTGTTCTTCTGGTTGGCTCCTAGGACTTTAACTTTTTCGGTCTCTATATGAACCATAATGAGGAGACTAAAAGTTTGACTTTTTTGGAGGGGTCCAGAAGTCAGCCAAGGTAAATGGTCTTGTGAACAACGGCCACTCGGTCTGTGCCAGGCCTCATGACATGTTAGACAGCATGCGTGACGACTATACAGGCACCACTGTCGGACTGACCGGAAGAGGCTACTCTTGGATACGCACTGTGGACCACAGGAAGTTAGCACAGGACTGCAGCAAAGGGCCCTGGGACTATTACCTGCTGGTTGCGGACGGAAATGCAAAGTATCCCGAGCCGGACCCCGATGCTGTGAAGACTGCAGGCAAAGTCATTGCCATCAACGCCAATGACATTGGCCAAGCTCACCTACCAGTTCCAGCGGTGGCGACGGAGTACTTCAAGAGAGAAGGAAATTGAGCCTCAGCGAAAGAATCTGCTCCCAGGTGTTCGCAAAAAAGCCGGACAGCCGAACCCTCCGCAGCCTTAATGCAGAGGTGTGAATAATCTAGTCCCTACAGACCTTTTCCAAAATAACTACTATAATGGACCCCGGGCCCTAGTTTCTGCTGACCAAGGCCCCCATAATGCACAAGCCTTGTCAATCCGATACGGTAGACGTTATAGCAACCCTTCTGCAACCTTTATAACCCATTACAACAAGTTCTGCACTGGCTCAGCTGTCTCAGTTTCTCGGAAGAACTGAACGAACCCGCCTCGCCTGCAGCATCTGAGTGGGAGGGCTGAGAACGGAGTTTCGGGTTCAGGGGTTTCGGGCTTAGGGCCCCGACGCAAAAAGGGGTTAAGGGTTTAGGCTTGTGATGTAGGGTGTAGGAGTTGAAGGACATGCAGCAGGCTTGAAGGCTTAGGGCTTAGAATTTAGTTTCGAGGGTTCGAGGAGTTTGGGGGTTGTGTTCAAGGTTGTGGGTTTAGGACCCAGACATAAATTCCAACCCTACATAACCTTGGTGTTCTTCTGGTTGGCTCTTAGGACTTTAACTTTTTGGGTTTCTAGATGAACCATAATAAGGAGGCTAAAAGTTTAACTTTTTGGAGAGGTTCAGAAGTCAGCCAAGTAATTTGCATCTTAGACCTATGAGACCTTAGTCACTGGAGGCCAAGAACCTGAAAATTCTGAAACCGAACTTGCCACCCTCAGAAAATGCTTGGAACTCCCTTCTGGAGTTTTCCAAGCCCAAGGATCAAAACAGGCTTCTACTCAGTCTGTTTCAGACAAGTCTCAAAAAGCCGTTGGAGGACCCCGATAAAGGCCCTACTGGAAGGATTAGGGGGCTTAACAGCCTACACCCTCAACCTGAGGCTATTCTAATCCTTCCCCATGTTTACCGTATCCCTTGCAGAATCTTTAGAGGAACTTTCAGCCAAAGACCTAGGTATTCGGGCCCCATGTCTACAGCATCCCTTGTGGAATCTTCAAAGGAACTTTGAGCCACACTATGCATCAGGGCGCCCATATACCACTGCAACCCTTGTAGAATCCTGAAAGGAACTCTTGGCCAAAGGCACTATGGTAAACCCCCAAAAAGCTGGAAACCGGATTAAGGACAAACAGTGCTGGGATTCCCTGTACTTTACTCTCAAGAGTCGAGGCTATTGGGTTTCCAACTTTTGGGCTTCTACTGTAGACTCTAAACCCTAAACCCTAAACTGTAGACCCCCGAGGCTTGATCGTGTGGCTCATCAACTACAAGCACTTCTTTGATCCGGTCCACGGCTCCTTCTTGCAGGCTCACGGTTTAGGGTTTAGGGACTTTGCCCGGCTGAAGGACGGCAGAGGAGGCAATGCTGGCAGTCATCAAGTCCGGTTTCAAAAAGGGTCTGGGGCTTACGGTTTTTGATTGCTACTGTTACTCATATGACGACTATCAGAATCATGATGACGAATTTTGGTTTGTTGTGACTGTAATTGTCCTTACCATTATTAGTTATTATGACTGTCATTATTAATTATTGGTATTCTCCGGGTGTGGATTTAGGGGCGTTGAAAGCTAGGTCCTGTCACAAATGATAGTAGCAGCAGTAGTAGTAGCAGCCAGAATGTGGAGTTTGGGGCCCGGGACTGCTCGGCCTGGTCTGAGTCTGAATTATGATTTGGAGGGGTTTAGGGTTTAGGGTTTAGGGTTTAATTAGGGGGGGATGACGAATGGAGTCTGCTGGTAAGGGTTCTTGGGGATACTTGGTTCGGAGCCAACCTTACAACAGTTTGCCCATAAACTGACCTGGCCTCACCAGCACTCACTAGCGCTCACTCGTCCCTATACAAGTGCCAGCTAGTGCTCAGCATCGCTCAGCAGTGCAAGCTTTGGAGAGCACTGCTAAACTGTATTAGTGCCTATGTTACGCCTTGGTGCGCTGTAATCCTTGGTGCGCTGTAATCCTTGCTATATAGGCCCTAGCACTTCACAAACAACCCAAACTACTGACGCTTGCTTGGCTTGCAAGTGTTTGCTAACACTTGGCAGGCCTTGCTATCCAACCATCAGTTTGTGTTGGAAAACTCCATGTGCTGTCCCCTTAGGTGGTTCCCTCTGAATCACAGTTCACTGAGTGAATCGAGGTGTCGTGTCGGTGTTTTGCGAGGGCTGGGTTCTTAAAACCCTACAACCCTA